TAGGAATGTAATAATATCAATGAATTTTTTACCAAATCCAAAGTGCTGAAGTGACTTTATAATAAAATGATGTTCGAGGCTATCAAAAGCTTTATAAAAATCTAAGAACAGTATAGCCCCATCCTCTTCTACCAAATTTTCATAATCTAATAAATCAAGAATCAGACGGATGTTGTCATGAATATGTCTATTTGGAAGAAAACCTGATTGAGTTTCACTAATGAAATCATTTATTCCATTTTTTAATCTGTTAGCCAGTGTATGAGTGAATAATTTATAGTCCACATTCAGCAATGTAATAGGTCTTAAGTTATCAATATTAGATTTATCTTTGTTGGGTTTAGGTATCAGTATTATTACTCCTTGTTTCATCGTAGTTAAGAGTGAATTATTCCGAATACATTCTTGTAAAACTTCAAATAGTAGCTCTCTAATATCTTTCCAAAAGAATTTATAAAAGTTTGTGGTTAGACCGTCCTGGCCAGGAGACTTACCCAGTGCTACCTTTTGAATCACCTTGTCAAGTTCAGAAATATTCAAATCCATATCACATTCTTCTTTAAATTCTAAATTAATTTGAGGGATAAACCTTTCAATGTAGTTTAAGAATTTTATGGAATCCAATTCTTTAAAGTGAGAAGAGTATAACTGATGGTAAAAATTATAAATACTGACTGAAATTTCTCTTTGATCTTTAATTAACTTACCATTAATATTTAGTGAATTTATCGCATTTTTTGTCTGTCTATTTTTCTCTAATTTACTAAAATATGAGCTATTCCTCTCTCCATCTTCTATCCATTTTGCCCTTGACCGAATGAAAGCTCCTTTAGCCTTATTTAAATAAAGCTCGTCCAGTTTTGATTGAAGTTTTAAATTTCTCTCTATTCGTATCTGAAAGTGTACAATCTCCGCAAAGTTTATTCAAATCCCTAAACAATTGTCTTTCTGTTTCTTTATTGTTTTTCCTCCTTTCTTTACCATAATTAATAGAATATTTTCTGACTTCATATTTGAAAAATTCCCATTTCTTCCCTGCAGAATCAAGATGAGGATTTTCTATGACAGACAATAATAGTTTCTTAATCATTTTACAGTATTCCTCATCATTCAAAAATAACGCATTAAATTTCCAGTATCCGTTTCTACTTATATTTCCTGTCTTAGGAATTAAGTTTATAGAAACTACACAATGATCCGTAACAGGGGCTGCCGATATTTCAGCAAGAGAGATCTGGTCTAAAATAGCTTGAGATACTAGCCATAAATCAATTCTTGACTTATTATTACCATTTGTACGTATCCATGAAAATTGTCTAACACACGGGTTAATATGTCTCCAAGCGTCTGATAGCGAGTTGTTTACACAAAAACTTCTCAATGTTGGATTATAAACATGTGTAGAGAATTTAGTGGGATATCTATCCATCCATTCATCAGGAACACAGTTAAAGTCCCCACCAACCAATATATTATCTGTTGGATATTTAACTTTAGATTCTCCAATAATTTTTGAAATTTCATTTAAGAATATTTTGTTTTCTGTAATCAAATTATATCCGTAAACATTACAAATAATCCACAAAACACCCTCACAATTCAAAACAGCAACTATCCAATGACCCTTTGAGTCTGCTTTATATTCCACAAGCTTACCCGGATAGTTGTTAAAACAGATCGCCACCCCTCCAGATTTGTTGGATCCATGACTAAGAAGGATGCTGTCTCCCCATTGAGTCTTCCAAAACGCCTTGTCGTCTTCACACGAATGAGTCTCTTGAAGAAATATAACTTGTGCTTTTTGTTCCTTACAGAATAGAAATAATGCCTTTCTTTTGGTAATGTCCTTTAGTCCTCTTGCGTTTAATGAAATAAGAGATATTCTTGAACTCATAAGGAATTCAAAACAGATCTAAACCCAAAAAGCAAAAACGTGAAAAAAACAAACAAATAAATAGATAAACAACAAACAAACCCTAAATTAGATATAACAGGAATGTAAGATTTCACCAAAGAAAACTAGCTTAGTGACTAGTAGAACTGTCCCTCTAAATGACTTCGCCACTCATTCGGAAAGCCGTCCCCATCTCCTTCTTCAGGGGAAGATCTGGGTGTTTTCAATAAATGCAAACGGTCCTCTGAAGTATGCTCTCTTGTTCTTCTCCCGTGCCTCCTTCACCTTCGGCCACAGCAGCCTTCTCGCTTCTCTGTCTTCCTGAATCAGATCTTCTGCAAATCTTAGACCATTTTTCTTGCATACATCACAGTTCTTGGAAAGCTTCCAGATGAGGTCTCTGCACTCTCTCTTCACGAACTGAATAATTACTTGCCTTGTATGGAGAGCATCTTTTTTCCCGATACGATGCACCGTGTCCACCATATCCTGGAAGCTCCACGGGACTCCCGGGGCGATTTTGTTCAGAATAGCAGTTACCGTGCCTTTTATGTCTTCGTTGTCTTTTTCACTTACACCCTTAAGTCGTAGGTTCCATCTCCTCTTATATCGTTCTTGTTCCTTACACTTTTCTTTTGTTGCAAGCAACTCCTCTCGTACTTTAACCAGTTCACTTTCCAGCAGCGTTGTTTTGCACTTATTCTCCGCGACTTCTTTCTTTAGCTCCGTTAGCATGCTATGCTGTTCCTCCATCTTGGTGGCTAAACTTTCCAGCTTGTTTTCTTGCATATCAAATCTGTCAGACAGGTTGGTTACCGCATTTAGAATCTTTATCAGTGTAGAGTCCCCATCTTCCGTTTCTTTATCCTCCTCTGTCCTATTTTTCTTCTTGGACTGCACCTGAGGCTTGTTAGGAGTAGTCGGCGGCGCAACACGTTTGCTCCCGCTCACGGACTTTTCACCCGACATTTCCACACAGTAAGCGTGATCCTTTAAGCTCATAAATGCATAAGATGACTTCACTCCTCAAGCGACAATATTTTAGCCAACTGAATGAGAGTAAAAAGGCTATTTACTTTGCAATTTCGAGGGAAACAGTGAGAGCTCCTAGACGGACATGCTACTCAGAGCGCCATCTTTCGCCCCCCCCCGATCAGCCGGCATTTCACCGACGCTCTCACTTCCGCGTCTGTGAAACCACGCTCTCTATGGAATTATCGTATGATCACATTCTCTTTTTGTGGGTAAAACTCAAGAAAAAAAATTTTTTTTACTTGTTTTTTTTTTAGTTTTATTACAAAAAGTGCATTTTATGATGAAATTGATGAAAAAAACAAGAATTTCTTGATATTTCGCATAGAAAAATACCGCGAATCAGTGAAAAATACCGCGAATCTGCGAATTCCCCCTGAAAAATGCTCCAAAGAAAAAATCCGCGAAGCAGCGAATCCGCGATGAACGAACCGCGAAGTAGCGAGGGATTACTGTATAGTGAAGTTGACTAGTTCATACACCCCCTGCTGCTGCTCCCCAGAGCGTTCTGCAGCATAATCAGCACATTCTCTTTGAACTTGATAGTGTAATGACCTGGCTGGGGTTGTAAGCCAGGTGCATTCTGGGTATTGTGTTATATGTGTTTCCTATCGTTCTGCTAGTTCCTATGTGCTGATTTGCGTGTTGTGTGAGTGTTATGTAAGCCACAGGGAAGGTGATGTGTTCTGTGGAGGGGTTGAATTAGCATGGTTAACTGACACCGTGACTCTGTGTGGTAGGAGCGTGATAGAGGATCGTGTCTGTAGCGTTACAAAGCATTGAAGAATAACCCCAATAAAGGTCTGCGTGAACCTCTACTGCCACCTCCTGGTTGATTTGGGGACTGTAACCCTGCCGCTGGGACGCTCATACTTGCTTGTCACCACATTCCACCCGGCCACAATAAGAGACCGGCCATTATTTACCTCCGCTGACTCCGACACCGGCCAAAATTGGAGACCCGGTGTCGGTACAGTATCTGCTCGGGTGCAAGATCGGCTCGGGTCCGTCGACTGCCGATGACGTCTAAGTAGTTGATTGGCTGAACATGAACCTTACGGAATTACGTAATCACGTAACGTTGTTATCACGTGACGTTGGTCCAGGCAAATTTTTTCTATTGGAAAGATGGACAACTTTTACAAAGAAATCCATCATTACCTCTTTGAAAATACACTTTTAGCATAGAGCTGCAAGTATATTAGGGCTGAACGATTAACTGCATGTGCAATTAAATTGTGATGTGACAAAAGGAGATTTTCTAATGGCAAAGGCTGCAATTTGGCAGCGAGTGGTTAGCGCAATGCTAATATACATGGAAAAACCCATAGGAATGCTAATGCTAATATCGCCGATTACATTATTACAAATTATGAATTAGAAACGTGGCAAATGATTACATTTGGAGTCTAATAGAAAGTAAAACTACCATCAATCAAATAAGTACAGACAGGTATTTTAGTAAAGCCAGAAAACTTTTAACTCCAGAGTTTTGGCTAGCAGCTATGAGCGTAACTGAACTACGCATGGACAAGACGTCAAAAACTCAACACAAATACTTCAATAAACGGGACACACTTCTTTCCTGCAAATACAATTTCACAGGTGTTGCTAATACCTATGATCCTTCAAGGGATGTGCTCAAAGAGGAGTTCAACATGAATCAAATATAGTGTTTTATTTTACAAATACTATTATAAACACAAACTTACGTCTTAAGAAACATTATTTTAATAACGAAACTGCTAAATTCTTTCCAACAGTATAGATGTGTAGTGTATTTTGTCCGAGTGGGTTTGCCGTACTTTGACGTCATCGGCAGTCGAAGGACCCCGAGCCGATCTTGCACCCGAGCAGATACTGTACCGACACCGGCCTTTAATTGAATACCGGCCTGTATTAGAGGATTTACGGTAAATTCAATCGACACTAGTTAAAGTAGTGGTAACAGCCTCCTCAGAGTCTTACTCCACCCACATTTCATATTTGAAAAATGCGGCCCAAAGAGGCGTTTCCTGTAAGACCGAGAAGGCGGAGCTACGGCCGTGATTGACATACTGAAATTTGAATACAGATGGCGACGGAGAGCGACACTAGCTCAGAGCAGTCATTCGAGGTGGAGGACTTTTCCCCACCTTCTTCCCCAGAGGATAGGGAGGAGGGCTTATTGGGGGAAGCAAGCGGTCCTGAACCGTATCTTTTTGAGCCACTAGCTCGTGAGTTGTCAGAGGCCCCTGGAGTCGAGCCAGCAGGAGTATCAAGGCATCGAATGGGTCCAGTCTCTGAGTGGTAAGTAGCTTTTAGCCACAGCTAGCTATATTTAGCTTAGCTAAAAGTAATATTGTATGACTGCCTCGACAGGTGCACCTGCGGCCACTGCACATCATTGTCTGCCAGAGAAAATGTGTGCTGCAGAGAAACGCCCAAGGTATAAAAATAAAAGTACCCCACCATGAGAAAAGCATTCTGTAATGTACACATTTGTTACACAATCACTAACATCATACTAATATTGAACTCTTATAGACCTGATATCAGTTGTTCTTTGTCATAGGTAATGCTCAGGTGTCAGCAGGTGGGTGTAACCTCCTGCATAACAGAGCATCCTGGTTTTGAGGCTGTTGCTCTGAATCCCTACGTGTTGCAGGCAGTTTATGGCACCTTTCTGCAACTCTATGGGGAGATGCAGGAGACTACGCTCAACAGGTAAGACAACTGTCAAATTACTTTTTTTATGAATACTTTATAACTCATACCACCTCTTTCTCAGCTGTTACAGACATCTGGCGTACCGGAATGTGGTCAGGTGGTGTTGGGGTTACCTGGGACAGCACGTTCGTGTTGTGATCCCGTCATGCGCTGTCTCCAGAATAAGGCAGGAGTTCCCAGAAGACGGTGCATACAAAGGATTCCTCCCTCCTCTGAACTAATATATATTTTTTTGATTAAATAAATGTTATAATATATATTTCCTGTATTGATTCCTGTCCATAAAAAGCTGCATAAATCACAAAACGGTAAATGCACTTCTTTACACTTTGACATTATTTATATATACACACATATAGCCACATACTTTCAAATGAGCTCTTACAACAGTAAGGTTCTAATTCGGGGTTAATTAATGCTGCTGTAACAAGTGAGTTTACACCCTGTGTGATTAATGAAGTCTATTCTAGAGCAGGTTCAATTAGGTAAAAATGAATGATAATAAATGTGATATATGTATTTATACACATCAAAATATCAATATAATTGTATTTAAAAAGACACAATTGCGCTTTAAAGATAACATTTATTATAGCTACTACTAAGACAATGTTAGATAACAATCTGATCATAACTTTCAAGATTTTTGACAAAACTCTAAACCACAAGCAGAGATTCTGGAGCCATGTGAGGAGAGGTTGGGCCAACAGTGATGTTTCATAGGTTCCTTAGACTGGAGGTAGCTTTCACTGTGATGACAAACGTGGAGATGGATCCCGGGAGCACAGGTTTTTCTGTTACAAGATCAGGAGGCTCTGAGGAAAAAGGAATATTAGTATGACTAGTATGACTTACAAAAGCAAGACTGGTGAGTTTTGCTATGTTACATACGGCCAAGATTTTCAAGTTGTATGGGAGCCACAGAGCAGAAAGGTTGTAGAGATCAATAGACATCTGGGAGGTGGACAGCATGAGTCACGAGTGGATGAGCATAAAGATCCATAATGACGACAGGTAACTCCTCTGTCGTACAGTGGTGTGCAGCCTGGCTGAGGAGGAGAAAAGGAGAAACCACACAGAGTAGAGTACTAACTAATAATTACAATCTCCTGTGTAGCTCACCTGACGTGCACTTTAAAACCTGGACCTGTGCCTGCTCACAGCATCCCGTTTATCTGGTCTTTGGAACTGGGCACAGAGCGGTTCTGGAACCGTAATTTTGTCCGAGTACTCCTGATATGGGAGAGGATCCACCACCACAGAGTCGAACAGCAGGTCCATAAGCTTGTGCACATATACTGGAAAAGGGTTTTCAGTATTACAATAGCTCTCCATGACCATCATTTTGGTTTTATCATACAATATATGACATACATGAGGTTGGATTGGTCTTCAGGGCTCTCACTGTGTAGTCTCCACGTTTGTACTTTGGGTACACTACAGCATATCTCAGCTCACCAGTTGCTGTTGCTGCATGTGAGCGTGCTGCATTTTCATTATAGTGCATTGCAGCAATTTGTAATCTGAAATAATCAAATAAACAAACCATGTAGATTTGAGGCAAAATTCTACATTTCATGCTAAAATTTGAACAATTAGAGGCATTAATTTGAACATTTGTTGTATTCATTACCTAGACAGCATTCCTTTGAAGGAGAAGACTTGACTTTTTGGAGTAAATCTGATGATGAGACTGTGGAAAGCCTCCAAGGTGGATGTGTGGTACTGAGGGCTTATCTTCTCTACGTCCTTCACAAACCGTGGAGCTAACAGAATGGCAGTGAGCTTCTCACATGATGCTGTGCCTACGTAGAAAATGTTAATTACAAAAATTACAATTTGATCAACTTTAGAATGTTGCTATTATTTCCATTGAGAAAAAGTTACCCATAGCTGACATTTTTAGATGACAAATGTATGAAAGAGTGACTAATAGTGCTGTAGACAGGTGTGGTCATTACTTACGGCATTTTAGTACATATTATGTCAATTATGGCTGTTCTGCCTAAAACCATGAGTTGTGTGGTGCACTCGTGTGTTTAAATTTCTGCACAGCATTTTATTCTTAGTAATTAATTGCTGTTGGCCAAATGGTGGTGTGTGACCTTAGCAGCTACATGTGATGTCTGTTACTCACATGCTCAAAAAATATTTCTCCATGTTGAAGGAGGTGAAGACAAATATTCTGTTGTGGGGTGACGTGTTTTAAATGTAAATAAACCAAACAGTAAAGGCTCAGCTGTAATGAGTACATGCTACACTTACTTGGTTTGAGCCACTGTCTTGCCTGTTCTCCATCCAGAGGTGCATGCAGACAGCTAGGGAACAGGGCGTTGTCATGGCTGTGCACATTTTGGATGTGGTTGGCAACTGAAGTCCACTTTGCAACTGCCTCCTGTCCTGAGGAGGAACTGGATGCTGACCAGTAGAGGTGGTTCACCACACTTTGCTTCCACAGTCTCACATCCTGGGTCGTCTTTCTCTTCCCCAGCTCTTCGATTTTCTTACCAATTCCTGGAGAGCCAAATAGACCCACATTTAAAATAGAAAAAAAAATCCTGTAATATTCACTATGTACATCCCCAAAGATTACCTTTTCCCATGTGCCAGGGGTCAAAGTAGTGACTGATTTCCTTTTTTTCCTCCCTCAAATACTTCTGCACTCCTGTGTGGCGGTCAGTCACGACTTGCTGCACATCGACCCCCCTCTCCAAAAGTGTGCTCAGACTTCTCACAAATCCCTCCTTCTCCATTCGCACACTATTCCCAACTTCATTGCTCTGAAAATAAACATAATTCTCCATTGATCTGTGAATAATTAACCATTAAATGTTTTGGAATCATCAGGTAATGTTGTACCTGTACAAGTTGGATATCAATAACTTTGTTTCTTTTGAGATCCATGCCATATTTGGCTGAGTGTCCTTCAAGAAATGCAAGTTATTACTTAATTTACATTTGATAGCAAAGGAATAAAATAAATAAATTTAAACGTATTCACCAGGTGAATCAGCTCGCATGTCACCACCAAGAGTCACAGGTCCAGATTCAGTAGCCTCCTGGATGATATCAGCTTGCTCTAGCTGCCACTGCCAGCTCACTGTTGGAATTAAGAGCTTTGCCTGATGCCGACAGAATGACTGCTTGGACAGTCCCTGCACATTGAAGGCACCCAGGAACTAAAATATGAAAAGTTACGACATGAAATGAGAGACGCACAGACCTTATCAAAACTAACCTAAACAGTTTTGGCCTATACCTTAGAAATCTGGCTAAATGATGAGCCTGTGAAAAGGACAGCAGCACAGAGCTGGAGGTTTCCTGCTGGGATGCTGTTCACCATAGGCTGACTGGACCACTCATTGTAGTGCTCACAGCATGAACACCGTTGTGTCACACGGAGCAGTGTGCCGACTGTTGTCGTGTTCACAACACAACGACCGGTACAAACGGGACACCTTCTGAACAGCCCCAGCAACTGTTTCTCATGAACAATGTACTTCTTGTCCTTTTGTGGATGGACCTCAGTGAAAGAGCTGTATAGAACACATACATTTATATATATGGTCATAACTAAAAAATTCTAAAATGTTATAATTTTTTTTTACCTTGAACAGTTCACTGAGCTTGCACTGTCATTGAGGTGGAAGCTGGGATCAACAACAGACACCTCATATCGTGGTCTTTTCAGGGGTGTGGACGCAGCTCTGGGACTTTGTGGAAGATGAATTTCCGTCACGGTACCTGTGTCACAAGACACACTGCGGCTGGGAGCTCTAAACTGTGTGGCTATGTAAAATACAAAGAAGCAGCACATTTATAAATGTTTAAAATAGCATAAAATCATGTGTAACAATAATCTGTAAAACAAATTAAAACTAGAAGGTAATAATAAAATGTTTACATAGAAGATTATTAAAAATAATTCACCTTTGCTACGTCGATAAGGCTTTACATGAGCCTGGACAAGTGCATTTTTGCAGATTACTAAATCAGTCTGACAGCCAACGTCTTGGGTAGATTTAGCCTGAAACAAAAAATAGAAGCACATTGTTGTTGGAGTTTATAAAGTCATATAATATACAAAAGAAACTGTCCAATATATATATATATATATATATATATATATATATATATATATATATATATAGGCGCTTTATAACATTCCTAGTGTGTGATCGTTATTATAATGTCAAAGTCAGTCACAGATGATGTGAAGAACCTGAAATGCGACCTCCTGAACAGAATTCCTCACAGAACCGGGTTAGGCTTTGGTGTAAAGCTGGATTTCACGCTGTAATGATGTCTGTCAACTAGTGCTGCGTTAGAGCCACTGTTGCTGAATTACCGACTGACACAAAAACAACCCGAATTTTCTCCGAGCCTGACAGAAATAGTCAAGTGGACCTTTTTTGTCGGCCAGGGCTTTGAGAAATGTTCCGATTCGCCGCTGATTCTAACCTTACATCCCGTTCCACATTTTGTGAACTTGACAAATTAGCCCGAAGGCAGTGCAGGCTGATATTAGCTAAATGGAGTGAACCACGTCTCTCAAACTTTGCATTTAGGTAGGAAATTGTCTTTAGAAGATGCTAACTTTTATTTAGCTTACTCACCTCAGACTGGAGCCCGCCATGGTGGGGGAGCAGAGTCGGTGGGCTGCATCTAATTCGTGGAAGAGCCACGGTGGGCACGGCCTCCCTCTTCAAACGGAGACGTGCAGAATAACCCAGTTCAAACTCCATCATGTTGGCGAAGGAATCGCGGGTAAAATGCTGGTTGCAGACTACAGCACCAGGCGGGAGCTGACTGTTTTCCAGTACACCGATTGCGCGCAACCACTGGCGCCTAATTTCTAAGTCCAGTGGAAAGGAGTGCAACCCCACAGAGCCACCACAACCAGCTACACTACACCTTTTAACCATACTAACACGATATGGAACACTAAACCTGAATTACTTTCCTAATAAAACTAACAGCTAAACACTAACTAAACTACAATATCTAACAGCCAAGCTAACACTAAATAAGTATGTATAACACTAAAAGCTATGCTAAAGACTAGAATATGCTAATGATATATGCTAACGATATGGAACACTAAACCTGAATTACTTTCCTAATAAAACTAACAGCTAAACACTAACTAAACTACAATATCTAACAGCCAAGCTAACACTAAATAAGTATGTATAACACTAAAAGCTATGCTAAAGACTAGAATATGCTAATGATATATGCTAATGCTGAACTACCGCTAACCGTCCTACACTCGCTTGCAAATCCAACTCCCAACTCGCCACAGGGCGTGGCCGAGACTCTCGTTGCTTTATAACTTTGGCACAAGAGCTGCTACGTAGTACTCTACTGGTTTACGTAGTATCTTACTCTTTAGCCATTGGCTAAAATTTATTCAAAATGTGTCAAATTCTGTGTTTTAAGCTGAAGGTGGCGCATTACTGTGGTTTTTAGGCTGAAAAATTAATTTTTAAAGAAAATGCACCAAAATGCTAAAATAATGAATACACACATTTAAAACACTATTAGACACTCATTTATACAGTTCATCAGCAAAAAAAAGTTAATTTAGACGTTACTTGCTCTTTAAGTGTTACAAAGATATTTGTTCTAAAAAAGTGCGCCCGATCATACCAAAGCCTGTTTTTTAATATTGAATAGAAACTATGGCTTCAGTTAAACATATTGACTTATTTTGAATGTAAAACTGTCAAACCTTCATTGAAATACAAAATATGATGGAAAAATCACTTTAAGATATAGGGTAGATGTTCAATTGATGTTTTCGTTATGTATTTAAATAAAAGCTTGACGTGTACATTCATAATGAGGCCCTATGTTGCAGTATTGCAACAGACAAAACAAAGCAGCTAAACAAAACTGAACAGCCTGAAAGACCACAAGTTGACAGTATGTGTGGTGTAGCTGGCCAGTTTAGCACTTTGCTCTGATGAGCTGAATTATCTGACATTTTCCAGATTTTTTGTAACTTTGTTTTTTTCCTCATGTTTAATTCATTAGATTATTTCTACAGTTTAGTCGCTCATGGATGGAGAAAAAGTAGGCGGAGGGGGAATGGAGAGGAGTGAGATGGATTAGAAAGGTGGAAGTATTTGTACATGCATTAATCATTTTAAAAAAATTCAAAGGATATCCACAAACATACGTTTTGTCCTTTGAGTTTCATGTCATGGATGTTGAGGGGCTTTAATGCTAATAAAGTTGTTTAATCAACAAGGTGATCTGAATGTTCTTAAACATCATTATTGTTTGTACTAAATGGAAAAAATTTATTAAATATGATGAATTTTGAATGTTTTGGTTGATTGCACAAGTATAAATGACATGTAATTCAAATGTATGCTATTTATCCATCATAGGTAACCTAATTTTTATGCTATTCAAACAATATTATTTATGTATTTGAAATACATACCCTCCTTATTAATTTAGAGTAACTATATTAATACTAAATAAATAAACTTGAGCATTATGCATTTCAATTAACTAGGCTTTATTACACTAATGAATGTGCATCGTGTAAAGTTTATTTAATAGGTTTGTCTAAAAATTACCTAAAAAAGTAAATGGGAATTTGTCAGGTAAAAAAATTACATAAATCTTAAGTTTTAGGGTTAAATATTGCTGTGAGTGTGTGTAGCCCTTTTCAAAAACATTGACAACTGGTCCCCATCATTGTGCAAATAAATAAAAAAATGTATCCTAATAACCTAAATATTGAAAAAGATGAGTAAAAGTAAAAGAATTTGATACTCAGCACTGCTGCACATTTTATTATTACTGTGTAAAATAAACCAACAGTAAAAAAACAAACAAACAACATTGACAATAAAAGAGATAAGATGAGATAAGCTTTATTAGTCCCACAGGTGTGGAAATTTGTCACAGCAGGAAGTGGACAGAACAAAGGTTATATAGCAAAATAGAAATACAATAATAATAAAATGCTGTACACCAATGTACAAAATAGAATAAAATATACAATAGGAACAAAATAGAATGCAAACGCTTTATACAGATAAGAGAAGACAAAGTCCCATTTTTAACTACTTCTGAATTTCAATGATTCTGATAATTGCCGCTGTGATAATCAATTCTTAAGTAATTAGGTACAGTTTATAATTTTTGTCACAATGTACCAACTACATTAAAACATCCATCTATCCACTTGCACTTGTCCTCTTCATGGTCGCGGGAGGTTGCTGTCATAGGGCAATACAAGTTTTCTATAATATCTGAGGATTTCTAGAGTAAATCTGTCTGAAATGTGGCACACAGGTACAGTAGGTGTCCCAGAGGAAGGATGTGGTGAAAGTTATACATCAGCTATGAAGGATGATTTTTTTTAATGAATTTTTGAATATGCAACCAGACTGTCACGAGTGTGTATTGGGCAGTTCCCTTGCAAAATGCGGTACCGTAAAGACCGTTGTAAACGCGCAATGAAATTTTCGCGGCGGATAAGATGCGGCTGGCTTGACCGCGGCTCACAAATGACGGCTCACTTGACCGCGGTCATCACAATGCGGTGTCGGTACAGGATCTGCTCGGGTGCAAGATCGAGTAAGGTCTAGCTGCAGACGCAGCCCCGGCCAAACACGCCCCTATGTACAAAACACGCGTGCATGTACGAAGACGAGAACTCGCATGCGTGTTGCAAGAGATGGAAATGACGGTTCAGGTAAAGACAGATTTTTATTTTTACAACTTGCGAAGATTTTGTACTTTAAATTTGAACGTTTAAGACATAGTTTGATAGATAGCGCATTAGTAATTTTTTCTGAAACACTTATATAAAATTAAGCATTATTGGCAGTGGGGGAAGACGTCATGGACGCAAATTTTTTAATATAATTTTTAATGGGCTACATGCAAGCCTTTTGGCCAAAATAAACATAACAATAGGCCATTTATTTGACCGTTTATGACTCCTCATCTAATAAGCAGCAAACTCACGACGGCAATGTGGTAGCCCGGAGGGTATGCTACAAACAAAAGAACAGTGCTAATGCCTATATGTATTGTTTTCACATTGTTTGTGACAGCCTCTAGGTGTAAATGTCATTTTTACTAATTGCCATTTATCTTTGTCTCATTAGTGAGCGGCAGCTGATGTCCTATGCCATGGAACTGCTCATATACTCGGAGAAATTCAGAAAAGCTCTGGACTCATCTGAATTTTTGAAGAGGCTGTAGCATTGTGTGGACATTTATTTATTTTGGAAGGTTTTTGTAAGGCCAATAAAAGCTGTTGCTGGTTGTTTCATTTGTCTGAACTTTTTTTCTAAAGCCAAACTTTTCTGCTTTTGTGTTTACAGTATATTCTTTACAGGTATGGTCAATATCAGTTTACTAGTCTTGTGAATTGTATACTTGATGCAAAATATTTTAGTAATTTCTAAATCAATACATTTTGTGTCAAAGGGCCAGCAATTATTCCTGTTAACAGAATATATGAAATGCATATATACACATGTAAATATGCCTAAAAATTACACATCAGCAGCTTTTCACTGTAAAGAAGCAATAAAAAAATCATAAATAGTAACATAAATATTAACTACTCACTCGTATGAACTTAGACCCACTGTTAGTGCCTGTAATAACAAATGGTTGAAAGTTAAATGTTGCTGTAGGAGGCGTGCTCCCAAAAATGGAGGCTAGTAGGCTTAAGGGGTTTATTAAAACGATTACCACTAATTACTTTTTCTGATATTTAATTTTATTGCATTTAAAATAAACACAAAATTGTTGGTGGTATCTGTGTTTTATAATCTCACTGGGGATGGCCATAAAGTGTGTGTGCAAGAAAAAAAAATCCATACATTCATATTTAAACCTGGAGTCCTGTCTGTTTAATTACATTATTACTATTTCTGTATAAACGTATTCTTTCAATTGTGTTGTTCGCTGGGAGGCAGTAGCGGTTTTAGGCACGGGCAGACAGGGCAGTTACCCGGGGCGGCATTTTTTCATGACACAAAAGGGGCGTAGAAGCGCTGAGTAAAAAATAAAAAAGAAAGAAATCTGCACTGCACCGAGGTTTTCTATTATCTGTCATAT